TTAGTGACCTGGTCGTAAAAGGCCACCAGGTTGGTCTGAACTTTACTGTCCGAGCCCCCAAGATTTGGAATAAACTGCTGCCAGAGGTGGTCCAAGCAACCACTTTGAACGCCTTCAAGACACGTTTGGATGCTTATCTTGCTGGGGTCCTATGATCCCTGCTGATTGCCTGCCCCTGGGGCAGGGGGCTGGACTCTGATCCTCCGGGGTCCCTTCTAGCCCGAATGTCTATGAATCTATGAATCATTTGATCTGTGTTTCTCCTTTAAATGTTACACACTTTCTTCTTTTTAACTCTTTGGGGCCCAGAGTGACCTGAAGCTTACCAAATATTTGATTCAATACCCCATGAACTTAGAGGAAGTCTTTTTACTAAGTATAATGGTCTTTCATGGGCAGATCCAGGGTTTTGTAAGGGGGGTGAGGGTGCTGCAGAGGTGGATGCACCTCTGTTCCCAGCTTCTCCCCAGCTACCAGGTTGGATAGACTACACTGCAGGAACAACAGCTGGGGACTTTTCTGAAGTCTCTGAATCAGATAAGAACCCCTTCCACCCTGCCCTGCTCTCAGCAGTAGTTTCTTCCCCTTAATCCTCAGTGGCACCGCTCCTCCCCTCCCATTCCCCACCTCCCACTGCCGTCACTGTTTCTGTCTGAGCTGGGGGCAGTGGACTTTCAGAGCTGCTCCTGCCCTTCTCTGGCTGGTCTGTGCAGGCAGCTGGCCTTAGGTGGGGACAATGATAGTGGCAGCAAGAGGTACGTTCTTCCTCCTTGCATCTGCTTCCCAGTTGGCAGGGAACAGCTGGGTGAATTTGACAGAGAGGAGGAGTGCAACCACTGCTGCCACTGCTACTGTGTCTGGTTGAGTCTGGCTGGAGTGGGGCAGGAGCTCCCCACATCCCCAGGTCAGCCAGGGGCAGTGACAGTGTAGGGTGGGGGGCAGGGGAATGGGAGGGGTAGGGATGTGCCATTGAGCATGGAGGGGAAGGAAGGGGGTGGAATTCTTACCTGCTTTGGGGACTTAAAAAAGTCCCTAGCTGCTGCTCATGTGAAAGGGGTGCATAACCATTACACCACAAATCTGCCCCTGGCATGGTCATATTCCCCCTAAAGACTATCTGTCCCTATTATCTTTAGATTTGGCCCAAATACAATTATGGAATTTTGAATTACGTCTCCCACCCCATCTGTCCCTGTAGTTGGAAAGGGGGGGTTGCATGGCTGATGAAGTTAAACAGTAAGCATTCTATTTACTGTCAAAGAATCCATATGCATATATATTTAAAATACAAATGTATATATATTTATTTCCAGGTCTAACATTGATTTGTTGTAGGACCTTTGACGAATTATTGGGAGTTTTTTTTCAGAGCTATTAAGAGCTTGCCATTCCCAATATGGTCACATTTGAACTGAGACTGTGCAACACCTCTGAGACTTCGATGTGCCTCAGTTTTCTCACCTGTAAAATAGAATACATACTTCACAGGGATTAATTAATGTTTGGAAAATACTATTAAATAGTGAATTAAAGTCAGGAAGTGCAAAGTGATGATGATTATATACAAATTAGATATGGCCTATGGATTTCTGTCATGTTGCTAGCATTGCTTTGGCTGCTGGAAGCCCAAATTATTTAAGTATAAGAGCATGTGATGTTTGTTTTTCCACAGGTCTTGGGAGTGGCATGGTTTATCTACCCGCAGTAGTCATGGTAGGACAGTATTTTCAGAAGAAGAGAGCGCTTGCTCAGGGGCTCAGTACCACAGGAACAGGATTTGGAACATTCCTAATGACTGTTTTACTGAAGTATCTGTGCATGGAATTCGGATGGAGGAATGCAATGTTCATCCAGGGTGCGATCTCTCTGAACCTGTGTGTCTGTGGAGCCCTCATGAGGCCACTTTCTTACCAGGATGAAGCTAATGAAAAGGTTACTGAGAGAAACAGTAGTGAAGACAATTATGCAAAAGCTCTGTCCCCCCCTGCAGAGACTATAAAATCTAATGGGGTATTAAATGAAGAGCCTGAAAAAAAAGAAGGGCTAACTAATGATGAAGTGTTTGACACTGTTCAAACAATAGAGAGCAAAGGTAAAATCAGACATACAAAGAATATATATGCTCTTTGCATTCTTAAGACAATGAGCCGTCTGACCCTTATAATCAGAAAGGGGTTTGTAACATGGTACTCTAGTTACTTTGGAGCTGCATCACTCTTTACCAATAGAATGTTTGTAGCCTTTGTATTTTGGGCATTGTTTGCATACAGTAGCTTTGTTATTCCTTTTATTCATCTTCCAGAAATAGTTAAACAGTACAACTTATCCATGCAGAATGATATATTTCCTTTAACCTCGATTGTAGCCATAGTTCATATTTTTGGTAAGGTGACCCTTGGATTCATCTCTGATTTACCCTGCATCAGTGTTTGGAATGTCTTCATGACAGCTAATTTCTCCCTTGTTGCTTGCATTCTTATTTTGCCACTAATACATACATATGCTGGCTTGGCTGTGGTTTGTGCTCTGATAGGATTTTCCAGTGGGTATTTTTCTTTAATGCCTGTTGTGACTGAAGATCTAGTGGGGACTAAGCACCTTGCAAATGCTTATGGCATCATCATTTGTGCCAATGGGATATCTGCACTGCTGGGACCACCATTTGCAGGTAAATATTTTAAGCTTCTAATATTACATAAATTATCTAAATATAATAATAACGATGGATTATATCTAAATGAGTATGCTTTATGGTGTTATGAAAATGTGGCTAACAAAATTATATTAGCTCTGGAGCTGACTATAATATCCCAGCATGTCTATATTCACCAAATACATTAACCATCCCCACTACAAATGGCCATCTTTGCACATTATTCCAGCTGTATTACAATCTCTCGTTCATGGTATTTTGTTATCCTAGCTGAAACCTGCAGAACTTTTGCAATTAAATTTTTATTGCAAAAGTAGTTCATTAAATACAGGATTTTAGTTATCTTTTGACCAAATACTTTAATGAAATCAAAACTTCTCACCCTCAACAAGGCTACATAAAGCTGTCCATGTGTAAACACAGGCTTAGGAATATAAATACATATTTGTCAAAAGTCTAGCCTTGTGACTTGTTTATAGTCATAGAATAAGGAGGCTCTTGCACACGTGATTAAGGGCCTTTATACATGTGAGGAAATTGCCCCTTTTAGTGGTTTAATTTCCCTTTTTAATGATTTAATTGCATAACAGGGTAAATGTTCGGTGGCATGTTACTGCACATTTGGTGGCGTATTTTGATTTAAATGACTTTTTTATTTAGCAAACTAAAACACATCCCCTGTATTTTAGTTTGCTGCATAAGAAATTGTAGCAATATTCCTCATGTGTACAAGGGCCCTATCTTGAAAAAGTGGCGGGGATGGTGCACAGGATGCTGGAAGCCTGGGTGCACTCAGGGAAGCCTTGTACACTGTCCCCGCCACCTTTTTCAGCTGCTAGCCACACTCTTGCCACCTTCCCAGGGCAGCCAGCCCATTCCCGGGCTATCCCAGGTGATGGGAAGGCAGCAGGGATGGTGCATGGGGTGTTGGAAACCTGCTAAGCCCAAGCTTCCCCAAGCGTGCCCAGGCTTCCAATGCCCCATGCACCATTGGATTTAGCGGATGTTGCCTGTGAGCTGGGGCTCTACCTGTGCAGCTGGCACCACTGCTGCGGAGGGAAGTACCAGGCCTACCCACAGCTCAGGACTGGCTGGCAGCTCACCCCTTGGCCATGGGAGAGGTGGGCAGGCTCTGGGGAAAAAAAATAAGGATCACATTGTTCACTGCTTTTTTTTTCTTTCAGCGGAGCCTGCCCACTCTGTGGTGGGGGCCCCCGGTGCTTCATTCTAGCGCTGACTTGCCTGCATATCTATTTGAAATGCCTCAGGGTCTTCTATAATAATCATATGCTTATCCTGTCTGTGCGGAGCACTTTGATTGGTTGTTTCCATAAGCATTGTGATTGGCTGCTGAGACAACCAATCGGAATGCTCTGGACAGACAGACTAAGCCTATTATTATTATAGATAATAATTGCATATACAAATATTTTATCATAGAGAAGGTTAATGCATTTCTTCTATGCTTTATATATATCACATTTACTTCTGGTTGAGGGATCTGGTGTTATAAGAAGGCTTGCTGCACCTCATGGAAGGGGGATTTCATCCCATGGTAGGGCAGGCTGGTTTGAATCATTGCTGTCTATGTTGGTACATCAGGACATCATTTAAATTACTGTTGGACTATGATACTATGGCTGGTCTGTGGACGTACTAACTCAGCTTACTCCTAGCTTGATTTTTTCCTAGTATTCAGGCAATAACATCCATTTTAGGACTGTCTGAGCTGGCTGCACTTTAACTCTTGTCCTCAGCAGGAGGAAAGTTGCAGCTCTGCAGGGCTAGACTAGAGGAAAGAAAAGTACATGCTGTATCTTTCTTAGGAGTAGCAAAGGTGTACTCTACATCCATTCCCCCAGAACATCGTAGACTCAACTGAGTTAATTAGGAGTTAACTTGACCAGGTGTAAAGGGGAAGGATACAGCTAGTTGCCATAAAGCACTTTTATTTTTTGTGTTATGCAGTGATGTGGATAACACGGTAACAGGAGTTTATTTTGAGGATGGTGTTTTGTATTCCAAAACCATTTAGAGCAATCTGAATACAGAATAGCATCTGCCAAGGAACGGAGATTAAAATGACAATTGTTATGGTGCTGAGACCAAATCTCCCAAGGAAGCTCTTGGAAAGCATTTTTCTGTGTTTGAATTCTTGAAAACCTTGTCTCTTTTTGAATAAACAGTTTGCACAACTTACTGAAATGTGCTTGTGCAAGCAACAGCAGCAGTTGGAACAGCATCATGATCTAATTATATGATGTAGTTGTGTATGTCAGGCAACATGATGTTTGTGCTTGTCAGTACAAAGAAGAAATTGTGATGCAGTAACTAAGAATGAGCAAAGGAGGGGCTGGTTTCAGGTTCTAGACAGTTATTTTAGATCAGATCTGCTAGATACAGGTTATATGACAGGAATATTATTTTGGGGCTAATATCTATTGGCTTCTAGAAATTTGAGTCTGGCCAAATTATAAAGTATCAGCAAGATTATTAAGAATGAGACTGTTTATAGGAACCATTCAGTATTGTAAATATTTTATTTCAAGAAGGGGGTTTCAAAAGTGGATGGAGTTAGACTGTTCTAAGTGGTGGCAGATAACGGAACAAAGAGCAATGGTCTCAAGTTGCCGCAAGGGAAGTTTAGGTTAGATATTGGGAAAAGCTTTCTCACTAGGAGGGTAGCAAAGCACTGGAACAGGTTACCCAGCGAGTTGGTGGAATCTCCATCTTTGGAGGTTTTTAAGACCTGACTAGACAAATCCTCGGCTAGCATGATCTAGTTGAGGATGGTCCTTCTTTGAGCAAGGGGTTGGACTAGATGACCTCGTGAGAGTCTTTCCAAACATAAGTGGCTATGATTCTATGATAGTTCAACCTTTTGCCTGAGGCAGGATCATCCCTATCCAAACCATCCCATACAACCATAATCTAAACTATGCAAGACTACCCTCAACCCTGACACAACATAGACCTAACACCCTAACCTGCCACAGGTAAAGCTGAGGAACAATGGTAGCTAATATTTTGCTTCTATAACATGTTGTCAGTATGCTCAAGAGGTCCCAGCCATGCCCCCCCACTACAGAGGAAGGCAAAAACTACCACAATCCATTCAATTTGACAATGCAGTAAAATTCCTTCCTGACCCCAAAGATGGTGATCAGTCTGACCCTGTAGGGAGGGGCAAGATACTGTAGCCAGAAACCTCCAACTTTGCTCCTAGCAGGAGAATCAGCACACCCCAACTGAAGTCCCCAGCCTTAGCTGTAGCCTACACTCGATGCCTCTGGGGAGGCTTAAAACCCCCCTGATACATATAGCAGAAAAGGTGGGGATTGGGGGTGAGGGTGGAGGAGGCAGGGCAAGAGCAACCTGCAAAGTCCAGAAGCATGAGAAATAGTCCTGGTAGAAAACAGGCATAGCTACACCTAGATCATCCCTGACCAGTGGCTATCCAAACTCTTCCTGAACACCTCCAGTGATGGGGAGTCCACAGCTTCCCTAGGGAGTCTATTACACTGCCTCACTATTCTCACAGTTAAGAAGTTTTTTTCAGATATCCAGTCTAAACTTAATTTGCTACAAGTTCAAGCCATTGGTCTACATCCTCCACTCCACAGAAAGAGAGAAGCGGTGTTTTCTCTCTTGTATGTGGCAGGCCTTCAAATATTTGAAAACTGCTATCATGTTCCCCCTTAAATGCCTTTTCTGCAAGCTGAACATGCCTAGCTCCTTCAGCTTCTCCTTATATGATTTGCCTTCCAAGCCCTTGATCATGTTTGTTGCCCACCACTGGGCCCTCTCTAACTTCTCCACATCCTTTTTAAAATGTGGAGCTCAGAACTGCACACAGTACTCCAGATGAAGCCTAACCAGTGCTGCATAGAGAGACACTAGCATGTCCTGTGTTTTGCACCAAATGCTTCTATTGATGCAGCCCAAAACCACATTTACCTTTTGTGCGGCTGCAGCACACTGCAGGCTCATATTGAGTCTGTGGTTTACCACGCTTCCAAGTCTTTTTCCATAGAGTTGCTATCCAGCCAGGTGCCCCCCATTTTGTATTTGCATTTTTTGATTATTTTCCATGAAGTGTTAACCTTGCATTTGTTCACATTGAACTTCATCCTGTTAGCTCAAACCCAAGTTTCCAATCTGTTGAGATCCTTCTGAATTGCACTTGCATCCTCCAAAGTGTTCACAGTTCTTCCTAGTTTTGTGTCATCAGCAGACTTGTTCAAGAAGATTTCTATGCCAGCATCCAAATCATTAAGAAACATGTTGAATAGCAGTGGGCTGAGGACAGAACTCTGTGGGATTCCACTTGAAACCTCCTGCCATTCTGATATGGACCCGTTGATAATTACCCTTTGCTTGTGATTGTTAAATCAGTTATCTATCCACCTTGTAGTACTTTTATCCAGCCCACACTTCTCCAATTTTTTTATGAGACGGTCCTGTAGGGCCTTTTTAAAAGCCTTGCTCAAGTCCAGATACACTATATCTACAGCATTCCCTTCATCCACCCAAGTAGTTACTCTGTCAAATTAAATCAGGTTTCTTTGACATTATTTGTTTTTCATAAATCCATGTTTGCTGATTGCAGTCAGCCTTTCCTTCTGTAGATGCTTGCAAGGCCTTCCTTAGGATATATGGATCACCAGCCTCACTTGCCACTGATTCACTGAATCTCTTCAGAAGTGTTTGCTAGTGGAAACTGGCCATAAACTGAAACTGCCCCCAGAAAGACCAAAGGGAAGGAATAATGCAATGGTTATCTGGATTCTGTAGCTCAGATCTTAAGAACTGCAAAGACTCTACCTTATCCCACCAAAATCCCACCTTATTAATGACAGAGAGAAAAAATCAAACAAAAATACTGGGTATAGCCTATGCCTTCAAACTGAGTTCTTTGATTAGGCTCTTTACTGCAGACTAAAAAGAACCTGTCCCATAATGATTTCCTATGGTATCTCTCTTAAGCAGTGGTGCTTAAACTTTGGCCCATAGGTTGAATCTAGCCTGTGGGGCCATGTCTTCCAGCCTTCCATGGATCTGGAAGTTTGGTGGTGAGGGAGCAGTGACAGCATTAATTGGCGTGGCTTCCAGAGCCATATTTCTGGATCTGTGAGAAGCCCTGCAGGCTGAATGACATGGCACCATGCACTGGATCCAGGCCAGCATGCCAGATCATACCCATGGACTAACTCTGCATGCCAACCCCATGCTGGATCTGGCCCCTGGACTGGACTTTAGCAAGGCTTTTGAGACCATCTCCCACAGCATTCTTGCAAGCAAGCTGAGGATTATGGACTGTAAGGTGGATAGAAAGTTGGCTGGATCGTGAGGCTCAGAGGGTAGTAATCAATGGCTCAATGTCTAGTTGGCAGCCAGTATCAAGTGGAGCACCCCAGAGGTCAGTCCTGGGTCCATTTTTATTCAATATTGCACCCGCTTGGTCTCGTATAGGTGCTCTCTAGTGGCCTTCGAGTGCATACCCGGTTCTTGCTGAGGGGTATGTCCCCAGGACCGGCATGTGGGGTCGCGTTCAACTCCGAGAGAGGTCCTGACACTCGCCTGCCATGACTTGGTCTTCTTTGCCTTAGTGGTGGGGCTCCTGCTCATGGATTCTTGCAGACTGGGTGCTGCCCTTTGCGGGCATTCTTGGGGCTCCACCTCCCCTACACCCCAGCCATGCGCTAGCCCTCAGGACTGCCAGATGATGGATTGCTGGCCTGTCCCCTTCTGGTGTTCTTGTTCATCCCCTCCCATCTCTCCCTACCTGTCCCTAGATGAGTGTTTCACTTTGGATGGCAGCGCGGCATGGGACCGTCCTCATCTCTGTGTCTGTCCTCCTTCAGGCTTCTGCTGTGCTGCCTTGGTCTTCCTTCTTGACCTGGGGTCCCTTGGAGGGTCCTTCCCTGGTCTGGGCTCTGTGCACCCTCCAAAATAAAGTAAAACAAATAAAAGAAGAAAAGGATAATCGGGGTATGGGCCTCTGCCCACCCCACTCACAGGTCTGGCGTCTGTGGTCCTCAAGATCCCCCAATGCCCTCTGGCTCCATTGCTGCCCTCTCTTCCTTTTCCCCGCCACCGGCTTTTAAATCTGCTGAGCGGTGGTTTTTGCTGTCATCATCCACCGGCGTTGTTCCCAGTTGTCAATAAAAGCAGCTGATGAATCATGCTGGCAGCCCTTCTCAGTGTGGCTTCGCTTTTTCTGGGGGTGATAAGTACGCCCTCTTTTCAGGACTTTTTATTTCTTTCTCTGGGCGGTTCAACCCTGCTACGGGTCTTGCGGTGGGAGGCTGCTCTAGTGCCTCCACTTTTGTTCCCCTGGGACAAATATCTTTACTGATGATCTGAAAGATGAGATGGATTGCACCCTCAGCAAGTTTTCAGATGACACCAAGCTGTTGGTAGTAGTAGATATGCTGGAGGGCAGGGCTAGAATTCAGAGTGACCTACACAATTGGAGGATTGGGCCAAAAGAAATCTCCCCCACCCAACCATGTCTCTTCTCCAGAACTTGTTCCCCCTGGCACCAGCCCCCCTGCCACTTGCCTTCCCTGCTACCTGTCCCACAGACACTTGCCCTGCCCCAGTGCCTGCCTCCTCAACCACTTGCCCCCTCCCCCACAAACCCTCCCCTGCTGCTGCTTACCCTATCAGTAACTCTGGCTCAGGGCACGGAGCACATGATGGTTCTGGCTCCAGCCCCAGCCAAGCAGCAGTGGCAGCATCAGCATCCCTGGCCCCAGTCAAGGGCAGGCAATGATTGCGGTTGTGGCCCTGGGTTGGGACGGAGCCACAGCAGCTGCCTGCCCCAGCCTGGTACTTAAATCCAAGAGAAGACTTTTCCCCTTATACCAAATGGAGAAAATATCTCATTTTGGATTGCAGTAAATGTGGTAAGTCCCAAGTAAGGAGCAAAATCAGACATGAAAGAAATCTGAATAAAACAAATTAACAGTATGTGCTGTCTCCAGATACATTTACTAGAGTCTGAGACCGTTTTACTGCAAATCAGTTTCAAATTATTTTTGATTTATTATTTATACCTTATTTTAGAGCTTGGATGGAAGACTGTTAACGCATCACCAGTTACAAGTTAGATGGTTAGAATGGTCTAACAGACTGAATATGAATCTGAGACCCAAGAACTTCTAAATTTTAATGCCAGCTGTGCCTCCTACTCATTGTATGATTTTGGGGTAACATAGCATTTAATTCCCCCATCTATAAACATACAGATCTTTCAGGGGTCTTAACAATATACAGCCTGACTCACCATGGTCCTGCAATTGCACAGTCATTTAGTACTTGTATAAAACCTGAGTTACTGCACAGCAGAGCTGATGAATGAGTTTTCTGTGACACTACTTCACAGTAGCCCCGAGACTTCTGTGCAGTAGCATCACATCATGGGTTCTGCCACACAATGCTACTGTGCAGTAGTCTCAAGGTATTGCACAGTCAGTGTCTCTTGAAGATGTGTCCTATAAGTATTAAATATTAGTACTTATTAGTAGCTTAGTATTAGTAGTAGCAAATTGATCTTATTTATGTCTAGATATATGAAAACACTGTCAACAAGTAGAGTGGGTTAGGAATAAACACATCTAGATTCTCTTCTAATTTGGAACTCCAAAAATATACACCTATATCCATAGGCCTTTTGTGCTCCTGGAATGAAATGCACCTCTAAAAACGAACCTCTAAAACACCTGTCCATATATGAAGCCAAATTTTTAGGGCTTAAATGGGAAATAAATAATAGATAGACATTGTGTTGGCCTTCTGATTAAGAGTGAAAAACATCAATTTTATTAGTTTATTTCTATTTTTATTGTATAGAAAGGGACAAAATCTCCACCTCTTTTTCAGAAATAATGATACTTGATGGCTTAAGTAAAGTGTTACTTAATAGGGTGTTTTCATGGGAAAATGTGCAGTATTCTTTACCCATTCCTGTTTTATTAATTTATGTCACACACTTTATAATGACAATTATCTTGTCTTTTTTGGCAGGTTGGATCTATGACATCACGCAAAAATATGATTTTTCCTTTTATATATGTGGCATGCTTTACTTGGTGGGCATAATATTTTTACTGATTCAACCTTGTATTCAAAAGAAAGAACCAAGAGAAAAACACACGGAAAATGCACAAGTATAGTGCACGTTATAGAGTATTTCACAAGAATGTTTTGGTTTTGCATTTCTTTTATATAGCAATATAACTTGTTTCTCTGATGGGACCAACTGCATTGAGAGCACCAGAGTGAATACCGAATGAGATTCAAAGTCCTGATATTAAATATTAGTGGAAATGTGCTTATAAAAGCAACTTTACTGTCTCACTTAGGATTTTTGGCATCAGAACTCTTAACAAATGTGGAGGTTATGAGCTTTCCACATGCAATATTATTATTTTTAGATTTGATCAGTAGTTGATTCTCTTCTCACTTAGACCAGTTTTACCCTGTTGAAACTTCACTGACTGCAATGCAGTTACTCCTGATTTACATTGGCATGAGAAGAGAATCAAGCCAAGATATGAATAATTTATTAAAATGTTTCCTACTCCATATTCCGGCTGATAAGAATTTATGTACTGCGCAGAAGCAAATGGCTACATTTCTGACCCAGCTACCCAAATGAATCACTAAAAGTCTGATATAATAATTCAGGATTTCAGATAATTTAACATATTTAAAAGACTGGTTTGTTGTGTAAAACTGAAAGATTTCTTACTTTTTTCTGAAAGGTTCTCCAGTTTAAGGATTTTTTAAAGTTTTAATTGCAGGACAAAAAAGCCATTCTCAGTCCATGGGAGAAATTATAAATAAGATACTTAAAATACTCTGGAGGCCAAATGACACTGAATTAAAAAACCACAAACATAAAAACAAAGAACAGGAGCAAGGAGGGGTGGAGGTGGGGGAAGAGGGAACGGGAAGAATAGTAGTACGGTTCTTTAACTGAAAGGATAAACATCAGAACTAGATGATCTGTTGCAAAACCTTCCTAGAACAGTTAGCACTTTCATGTGGAATACTCAGTTGAGTATTTATTTTTGATTTACGCTATTGAAATTGAGAAGAATATCTAGCCCTATTTATGAGAGGTCTAGTTCTAATTTTGCTTACACAGATTTCACATCTGGATCTATACAGGACCAGGCCCAATGGGTGCAGACAGAAGTGCACCTCCCTGCTATAACTTAAAATGATTTTTGCAAAGTGTTGAGTTACGTTACCCCAGACCACACAGAAGTTCATTATTGGTTCCAGGGAAGAGGGGAATCTAGCTGCGGCTGGGAGCCTGCAGGCAGGTTCTCATGGGAGTAGCCAGGGCTCTCTGCCAGTGCTCCGTTTTCAGAATGGGAGTGGGGAAAGGCAGCAGAGGGAGCTTATTTTTGGGGCTCCCTGGCTGGTGCTGAAGGTGGGGTGGGTGAATTGGAGCCCCCCCGCACCCTACCTTCTGGGGGGAGGGGGGTGGAGCTGAAAAACCCTCAGACTGCACTCCCTCTGCTCCCTTTCCCCCATCTCAAGCTGAAAACAGGGACAGGCTGGGAGCTCTGCAGACACAAGTTACAAAAGATGCTACATTTTGTAACATCTTTATCTGATACCTCATGCAATGATGGGTCAGGTGTAACAGGTGTAACATTTTCACCTAATGGCCATTTTTGAAGCTATTTGCAGCCATGCGCTTGTGTTTGGTCAAAGCTATAAACTGCTTTCTGTAGCCAGATCAGGTGAAAACTGGCATTGCCGTCTGCACCCAAAATAACATGGCATAGCTCCATTAACTGCAGTGTAGCTACCATGGATTTACATAAATGCAAGCTCAGAATTCAATCCTCTGTATTTAGAGTGAGCCACGCTAATTAAAAGTCCCTGCATGTCATGTGTATTGGTGGCGCAGCACATCCCTATGCTGAGAAAATGCCAACAGTGTGCTTTGAAAGCACACTGAACAAGTTTTATTTCAAAATGCACCGCTGCCATTTTCTCAGCATGGAGGTGCACTGCACCGCTGATACACATGATGCGTGAGGCTGCCAGAGTGCGTGAATGTACGTGCTCCGGCAGACTCGATTAATCAAGTCTGCTCTGATGTGCTGGACTTCCAGTGCATCAGACCAGGCTTCCCGCATGTGTGTAAGTGCCCCAAGACCGCTAGGAGTATTCTGTTATAGAACATTCACTTTCTTGAGCTCTGTGTTTTGCAGTTGATCACGGATTTCACAGACTGGAGAATGTTTCCAGAAACAGTATAAAATTCCTGGCTGCCTTACTTGTTTACACATATTTTAGAACTGTATAACATTTTTATTGAAATTCTTCCCCAGAAATTAATTGTTTAACCTCAAGAAGCCAGTTTGTCAGGAACAGAACTTGAGAACCTTGGATGAAATTGGCTAAAATATATATAGTTTTAGAAATAGTTGAATGGAGTACAGTATGACATGTTTAATGCAATTTATTTCAACACACAAGTTATTAAATCCTAGCTAATTTTATTGTTAAGTAAGAACACTACCTGAACTGTGCAAAACAGATCACATTTTGTTCAGTGCCGTTCACTTGCTGTAATGTTATTTAATGCAAAGCATGGAAAGATATTTTAACTATTAAAGTATACTGCTTTAGGTTTTTTGACCATTTTAAATAACAGAAGGACAATACAGAACATTTTGCATGGTGCTACAGTAAATATTTTCCATGCTTTGTGAGGCACAGCTTGTGTTATACTGCATACATTAATAGAAAGTTGGTTTATTTTCTGTATTTAAATGTTACAAAGATCTTTTTCACCATAAATCAAGTCCTTGCTTTAATACTGAAGTAGACTGTTGGAGTATACTGAAAACAGCTGAAGTTATTCAAATAAAGAGAAAAAATTACAGGAACACGGTTTGGTATAAGATCATCTGTTCTTAAAGTATAGATTCAATGTCTCTTTTTGTGCAGATGCTGCTGATAGCTTTTTTTTAATCTTATTTGTTGGTGACTATATATATGGGAATGGTGATTTGCATCAATTTCCTTCTTTTTTAAAGAAATGTGTCCTTTATACTTTAAGCTTCATTTTGCTTTCTATCCGTTAATTTTTAATTGCATATGACTGTAATGAATAAAATTTTGCTCTCTTAAGATAACTGCATTGTGACTTTCTATAGAGCTATTTCTTGTTATAACTCGATCACATAGTTGGAATACACTTCAAGTTACTAAAATAATTAATTTTTTTTGACTTTACAGCTTTGTAAGTTGTATTTTTATTTTAGGGAAACTTTTTGAGAGTTTTATTCAATAGGAATGGGAATCCTGTAAATATGGTATTTTAAAATAAAATCACTGAGATGATTCTGAAAATGTATGCACGTACTGAGCTTCACATACAGGAGTAGTCTCATTGACTAAAATGGAAATAAATACTCACATTAAGAAAGCTAAGGAGATGTATAAATGTTTGAAACATGAGGAGCTTCTTTCAAAAGCCCTTTACTGTTGCTAAAATATTTAGGGGATGTTTGGACATAATTCCAGTGAATTGAATTTTTAATTTAAATTAACAATGTTATCTCAGGTTACTATGATGACATTATATTAAGAGAAAATGATACTGAAAAGAGATCACATATTTATTAGAATATCTGAATAACTAGGATGCTGGTTTTATGTCTTAATTTACAACAGATTTACAATTTCTTATTTTACAATACATTTACAAATTGTATTTTTACTACTTGATATTTAAGTCAATTTTAAAAGTAAAGAGTCAGATCCTCCACTGGTATAAATTCAGCACTTATGTTAGTGGATCTTCAGTGCTTTATACTAGGAATAAATTTGATCTAAAGAGAATACTTGGCATTTGTTCTTAGGTAAACATAATATAAAAAAAAATCAAGGATCCTTCCAAGATAAATTGGAATATTTCTCTGGAAATAACAAAATCCTTATAGCCCAAATACAGTCATATTTCTTGATAAAATTCAAAAGTCTCTCGTATGTGGTGTATAAAGATTAGAAATATCAATTGAATTTTTATTTAATACTTTTTCAGTTTCCACAGCTACCTGGGAGAGGGGTCGAAATGTTGAAAAACTGACGACAGAATCACAATATACTTTATACGGAAGATAATTATAAGGCACATTACTGATGTATTATTGACCCTACAATGCAAAGAGTCAATAATAAATGCTATTTTAAGTGAAGATATACTTACATTAATTTACTTCTTATCAAAAGGTCCAAGTTCACAGGACTGGCAACTTTATCCTCAGAAGATCCTGAATAGGCAGTGGTGGAAAAATTTACCTACATAACACCCTTTCAATGTGCCTTCATCCAGCACCTTGATATATGAAGTCAGAAGAGAATAGTTTTGTCTACCCACCTATTCAGTATTCTTGCCTCTGATAAAGTTTCTTTTTGGTGACAAAGTGCTTAATTATCTTATTTATCTGAAGTTTAAACATCTAGTGAACTTACTAAGTATTACAACATTTAAAGCCAACAATTTTCACCACAAATGTATGTTAGTTGCCTTCTATCATTTTAAATATACCCTTGTGGCCAGTAAAAAAATTACCAACATTTCCTACCCAGTAAGAATTAACATTCATGTGTTTCCACATTTTTAGAATAGGGAATAGCTCTGGCAATATTATGCTGTTGTCAAATGTTGACTATTTAAATGGTAACTACTGGTTGCATCTATTTATGTAATTAGCATGTAACAATAAACTCCAGTGCAGTTAACACCAGAGTTTATTGCTTCTGGGTGCAGTGTTTACACATGTAGCCGGGACCATGGTATGTTGAGCCAGGTTGGCGCAGCCCCAGCTGGCAAAGGGTCTGGGGAGGTCAGCCTGACAGCCTGGGGCTGTTCCACCCTGGCTCAACATGCTGCATAGCGGCTGGCAGGACATGAGAGTTCTACAGTGCGGGGCTAGCTGGTAGGCAGGCTGCGCACTGTAGCACCCTGTGGCCCAGCCAGCCCTGGTCACCATCTATACTTGGGTTGTGGTGCACTAAATAATTACTGTAGGATAGTACTTGTGCTGGACAGTACTATATTACAGTGAAGTTAATTCATTTATTGTAGCCTAATATTGCTGCACATGTAGATGATGACATTTTACTGCAGAGCTAATTAGTCAACTGTAGTAAAGCTTGTGTAGATGTACCCACTGCATATGTGAATTTTTAACTCAAAGTCAAGAGTTTAGAAAGAGCTGCAAACTTTTCTGTTGCTAGTGGTTGCTGGGATCCCAATAGTATGAAAGTCCATTCTATAAAAAGTTATATGTTTTATGTCGTGTTTCCATTAAGGTATGTGTCTACTGTTTTAATCCTACAGTTAGCTAGGTTCTCCAGTAAAGAAAAAGGCAAATGATTATTCTTTGATATTTAACACATTTACATCTTACCATGCTTGCTTTCAATCAAAAACATGCAACTTTATTCATTCAGTTTTCTGAATTATCTTGTTTCTGCCTCCTTCTTCGAATCTGCAGCTGAAGCTGAAGTTTGCTAGTGAAGAAGAATCGTTTCCAGCCCACTTCCTGTGCCAGTGCTTTCATTTCAGGGGTAATTGTATCGCACAAATTCTGCACAATTTTTTCCCACAGTGTGTCACAGTTGCATATCTATTTATAAGAGGAATTACAGGGGGTTAATCTGTTTTGGTCAGATGTAGCTAGATGTCTTGAACATTCATTGATCATTTTTTTTGTCTGAATGCTTGTCTAACATGTCTCCCAATTATATAGCTTTCCAACGAAGGGGATCATCCAAACTCTCTTGCTTCTATGCTTTTTATAGGAGTCTTCAAAACCATCAGCTCTAGGGGGTAATTATGATGCTTAGAGGATGCTTTCCCCCTTTTAAGTGATTGCACGAACAGAAAGGTGTGGAAGTGATTATAGTGGCTATTATAGTACAAGAAAAAAATAAAATTAATTTTTAAGGCAAGATACAACTATCATAAAAATAATTAGAAAAGTTGGGTGCATTATTATATAATACCTAACCATTAAAATAAGTGACACTGGAACAGTGTTTCCTTTTTCATATACCAGTTAAATAGTAGCTTAACTGCACTGACTGAAATAGAGTCACTCATGATCACTGATACTGGTGTTCCCCATTTAAAAATTGCAAATTCTCTGATAAAAATCCAAAATTCTCCAATTTAAAATCCCCCAAATCCACATTTTTCTGCGATTTTAAAATGAAATGCCTAGATATAGATATAGATATATAGGTATCAATTGAACACAATGTTTTATTGATATATTTACCATTTTAAAGCAGGCTGGTAGTCTACCAGTAATCATTATAATAAATAAATTCTAAATACCTATATATTTTGGCATTTGATTTTGGTTTTTTATCAAAGAAAATCAGAGTCCTCCCTACCCCCTTTGCTCACCAGGAAGTGGGTCTAGCTGCAGCTGTCACCCTGCTACTTTGTGGCGCTGAGCAGTCCTGACATGCCAGTTTCCCTCACTCACAACTCACAGCCCCCACTAGCCCTGCCAGTGCCCTTCACTCCCAACCTGCAGCCCCGTATTCCCACCAGTGCCCCTCACTCCTGACTCACAGTCCTCCATTCCCATTGGTGCCCTTCACTCCTGACCCGTAGCACCCCTAAGCCTGCTGATGCCGTCACTCCCGACCTGTTGCCTCCTGCCACCAGGCTTCAGCCCCCCAGTGTGTGGGCCAGGGGAAGGGTGTGGGGCAGGAGAGGTACCTGACCAAAGGCAACACCACAGATGAAGCATGGGGCGGGGTATAAGGGGAGCACATGCCAGACTGACATGGGGCAGCACATGCTGCAGCCTGGCCAGACTGGCATGGTCAGAAGCCACCTCTGTGGCCCAGTGGGCATGACCCAGCTCAGGAGGGTGAAGCAGGGTGGCAAGACTCATTGCCATCACCATTGCCAGGACCCCTGCACCAGCCACACTGCCAGCAGTTCAAGGAGTAATAGACTATGGGGAGGGGTGGGGGGGTATGCTGCCCTCACTTGCTGCTGTCACCAGCCACTTGCATGCCAGGTTGCAGCTCTACCCCACTGCCATGGTTTGGCTACCGCTCCCCTCAGGTCACCTGTGCTGCCCCCCATGCAACCTACCCTCCAGGGTACAGCCATGGCCTAAGGGGAGTGGTGACGGCAGCCAGTCCATGATGGAAGGGAAAGCTGCGGTTCAGGGTTCAAGTGGCTGGCAGCAGGAGGAGGTGAGGGCAGCATGGCTGCATCCCCTGGTCTGTTACACCTCGTGCTGCTGGCAGTGATGTGGGATCCCAGCAGCAGCAACAATAAGTCTCCCTGCCTTGCTCTGCCCTCCCAGTCCAGGTCCTGGTCCCAACTGCTGGGTTGCGGAGGCAGCTCCTGCCCATGCCAATCTGTTCAGGCTGCAGCCCTGCACCTGTTGTGGGTGCACAAATCTGGGGGGGGCACATGCCTCCCATGCCCCCCGACGTGTCACCTCTGGCACCCAATCCCTCCCGTCAGCTCCCCCCACCCAGATGAGCTTCTTGTGGTTCCATTCTGCTCCCCTAGCTGGGTCCCATGGCTGCGCATTTCCTTCCTGGGCCCTATGAATTGAACCAGCTGGGCAGCGCCTCCAGCCCCAGCCACCAACCCAGCACCACTCCCTCCCTCACCATGTGGGCTTTAGCACAAACTGCCGCCGCTATCTCAATCTGGCCCCCCACCCTCCTATGTCACTTATGCTTCCCTGCCCCCCCCATGCCTCTCCTATGCCCCCTCCGATAGATTTATGGGGGAGCTGCAGGAGCTGCTCTCCACCAGGCTTCCTGGCTGCCATGAGAACGTATGTTCATGCACATGCACGTGGCGCTCCCTGCTAGTGACTGTCCTCCTCCCACTCCCCACAACCCCAAGCAGCCCCATGTAGGCTGGAACTCTGCCATCTTGCAAGGGGAAACCCACATTTTCCTGTGTTTTTCTATGACAAATGGAAAACCTGGATCCCTGTTCATTATTTATCCTCATGAAAATCAGGATCTGTTGATCTGGATCAATCCTGCTTTATTTTTTTTGTGCTTGTTTTTTATTCAGTGGGATATAAATAAAAGCAATTAAAGAAAAAGTGCCTGAAAAATACTAAATGCTAAAGCAAAATACAAAAAACTCAACTTTCATTTACATATATACAACCCTACAGAAGTTAATGGAATTAAGTGCATCATTTTCATTGATGAGTTGTAATGTTTATAATACTGATAGTGAACTGCAAATTAGGGATGTGAGCAAGACTGGAACACATGGCTCATGGAAAAACTACTTCAAGGGACCTAAAAGATGAAAAAGGGATGAATTTTAAAGACTCTCTTGAAATTTTTGCTTGCTATGTTTCCCTGACTCTTCTGCTACTCCTAGAAATATGAGAATTGCACTAAATTGTACATATTGAAGACTACCTTTTAGTACTTCAATACAATATATTAATGAGATACCTAAAGCAAGAACCTTAATGCCATTACTATAGTTTTCTTCATTCAATTTTAATGGTCTTTGAATTATATAACAACATAACAGCCAGATCTCAAAGTTATAACTTTAGTCCTTATCATGCTCTAAGTGAGTAAAAAACAACCCTCATGGGTTTGGTGAGAAAATAGAGCCTTCCTGAGATAATACAGAAAAGTCTGCTGTATCTGCAATAACCTAAGAAACTTTTACTTTCATTTTTACTTTATGGATTTTAGCCCCCTCTGGTGGCCTTTTGCTTATTATAATTCATAGAAAGATACAAAAATGTATTTTTTTACAGTTCAGAAACCTTGGCCTTCTTAGAACCTCTTAAAGTTAACCTACAATATACATCAAAGGAATTGACTTGAACTTGTGCTAAAAAGTATGTAGCATCTTATACATTTCAGTAAATGGATAAGCTGGAGTGCTTAAGTGGTGGTGCTCAAATTAAGGCAGCTGCAATTGTTTTATGAAACAGCTGATTTTATTAAATATATCTCATCATAGCTTTAAAATCATCAAAGATCTCCGAATCTTTTCTGAAGATTCGGAGAGCTTTGAACCAATTCGGACCTTTAAATTGGTCCCCTGATTCGATTTGGATTTGGAAATTTGGCCACCGAATCGGGCTGAATCTTCTCTGAACTGAATCACCACCCGAAGCTTTGCACAGCCCTGTCTATCATGCTAGTTAGTGCTGTCTCACTGTTTCCTTATAGTCCCACATCTGTCTGTATCCATTGGTAATCTTTTCTCTTAGTTTTCAATTCTAAGTTCACTAGGAATGGGACTATATTTTTGATCAGCACTGATACACAGCATTGGAGTTCCTAGGCACTATAGTAATACAAATAAATAAACAATACAAAGCATGGGTGATACCCTCCAGATATTTAATACTGGGAATAGCATTTACAACAACCCAAGTAATCTCATTTGTTTGTGCAGACTATTTGGATAGTAGTAATCACTCTATACAGTAGAAAATGTTTGTAAGACTGGACCAATTGTTTCTATAACTACGTATAGTTGGAATCCAGTTTTCATTGCACAGGTCCAGCAGTGTATGATTATGTCATTAATCTGTATCTGTAAATTGAAAATAAAGATATGTATATATACACGTAAAGAAATATTTCTTAGAAAAATGAACTGAAACAAAAATTATACCAGAATAAAATATACCATAATAAAGCTAACATTTTAAAAGTAAATTGTAAATTATTTTTTACCGTTTCAAATCTGTGTGAGACTTGAGAAAGCCTGGCAATATCTTCAAGGCCCAGAAAGGAAATGATATTTAGGAGCAATGGATCAGGAAGCCGTTCAAGGAAGTCAAAATTACCTCGGCACAGATTAAAGATATGTTCTAGAACTTTAGCACCAAACACAATAGCAATTTGAACTGCAATTCAAAGAAATGAAATATAAAAAGAGATTAATAAAAGCCTCTACATTTCCTAATGTGTACCTTTTATATAAAAAGGACCAATCTGAGTTGAAGGTTAAATCAATAAACTTATAAAATTCTGAAGACCTTTATTATTAATAATAAAGCGCAATATTCCACTCCTGTTTCATGTTCAGGGCTACCAATGTAGTGATAGTAGGTTACAGCTATCCAAATTCCAGAATGTGGAATTTTATCATAACAGCTATAATTATTCTCAGCTCACTAATAAACTCTGATTTCACCAAAGAAGCAACAAGGCTGAGCTGAAATGTGTCCAGTTTCATTTTTTGCATGTACAAGATACTAAATATAAGTTTCTTTTATACTGTACTATGAAATGGGGAGTAGATTTAGGAAATACTGAAAAATGTTCCATTTACCCTTAAAATGCTTCCAACTTAACAGTCATTGCAGTCACTCTTCCTGTATTTCTTTTAAACACCTCTTCTTCATTCAGTAGGTTCCTGAATGCATTATTCATGGATTTGATTTTGATATGCATCTTTTTTATTAATACTCTATGGTAAAATTTTAGAGTTCTGGGTTTTTTCTTCAAGATCTACTTATATGAGTGCTGTAATTTAGATTTCTAAAGGGATTTCTCTACCATGGGCCATAGGGACTTATGCTTTCATTCCAAAACAAAGCTGTGTTTTATTTACAATTAAAATAATTCCAACAGATCCAAATTAATTTCCCACAAAATTGAGCTATATATTTACTGAATAAAGAGTGCTATGCGCATCTTCTGACATATGTTACACTCACAAAAACAAATACAAATGGGATAAGTCATATAGCTGATCCTCTGCTCGTGCAGCAATTTTTCTTACAGTATATTTTAAAATATTTAGTCATTGTAAATGATGCAAGCAATAAGATTTCTGTTGAAAAACTCTTCTAAATCTGACAGCTCACACTGTTAAGATAGATTTCTGTTATTCTGGCTACATTTCTCTCTTAACTGCTTCCAGCAAATCTGATGTACCCTTCTATATCATTTGAAACGATTCTTTGTATTTGTGGTGTTTACGTCTTCCTTTAATATTTTTAGAAAGTTATGTTCCAATCTTCATTTATGTTCTCAATGTCCTTTAATCTTTCTTGCTAAATCAACCATCCAGCTTCTTAATACTGTTCTTACTCTTCTCTGAATTCTGTCCACTTTTACCTACATAAACTTGGTATGAATGTGTTCTATGTACACAATAGATATGTCTATACATGCATTTATGTGTGCCTAAACTTAAAACACCTTTGCTTATGGATCATTAAGGTGATTTAGGCATGCGTCTACACATATTCAAGTGTATTAACTTTTTGTTAATTAACTAAGTCACATTAGCCCACATGCAGACATGTTAATGTGCATTAACAAATGCTTTATGCAGATATCAAATTTAGGCAGGATTAGCCTAAAATCGCCATTTTTACAGCACGTTAAGGGCACACACATGTGAATACATGCCTTTAACGCACCTTAAAATGGTGATTTTAGGCAAATCCTGCTTAAAATGGGTACATGTAGACATGCTCAGTACCATAATTATTTGAATATCACATGCACGTTGTCCCCAAGATTCAGACCTCCAAAACTAGGGTGCACATCTTAAGTGACAAAGCTTGATTTTTCTTTGCTGGAATAGAAGTATGGAGTATGGAGAGGCAGTGCTGCAAAAGCTGGACGTGTACAAGTTCATGGGGCTGGATGAAATGTACCTGAGGGTGCTGAGGGAGTTGGCTGATGTGATTGTAGAGCCACTAGCCATCATCTTTGAAAACTCATGGCAATTGGCAGTTCCCAGATGATTGGAAAAGGGCAAACATTGTACCCATATTTAAGAAAGGGAAAAAGGAAGATCCAGGGAACTACAGACCAGTCAGCCTCACCTCAGTACCTGGAAAAAACATGGAGCAGATGATCAAGGAATCCATTTCTAAGCACTTGGAAGAGAAAAAGGTGATTAGGAACAGTCAGCATGGATTCACCAGGAGCAAGTCATTCCTGACCAACTTGATTGCCTTCTATGATGAGATGACTGGCTCTGCGGATGCAGAGAGACTGGTGGCTGTGGTGTACCTTGATTTTAGCAGGGCTTTTGATACAGTCTCCCACAACATTCTTGCAGGGAAGCTAAGGAAGTATGGGCTGGATGAATGGACTGTAAGGTAGATAGAAAACTGGCTGGAGCATCAGGCTCAGACAGTAGTAACCACATTATACTGCTTCTCTGTCTTCTGGGCACACTCTCTCCTAAAGCATGCCCAGAAGCAACCAGAGACTGGGTCCTCCAAGGAGATGCTGTAGCACCCATCTAGAGCACCTTTATGGATTCCCTGTGCCCCTGCAGCTCCAGCACACTGCCTCAGGGCAAGGCTGCAGTGGTGCCTCAGACCCAGGCTCTGTCCCAGGTAAGCAGGGACTGGGGGTAGGGGAGAACTGTGGGAGTGGGGTGGGGGGGGACTGCTCAGGAGGGGTGGTTTCCCTGCCCACCCCATGCATGGCACACAGCCCTCCTGCAGCAGCAGTGGCCATTGAGGCAATCGTGGCCTGCTGCTGGCAGAGACCCCTGGTGGCACGGCACCATCTCCAACCCAGCAGCTGTACATTGTGCTGGCCCAGCCACTGGTGTGCACTCTCAACCAGTGCTGGGCTGCTCTTGCTGCCACCGGTGGCTCCTGGCACTGCATGCAGAAACCATGTGCCGTTGGGCCAGGCTAGTTCCTGCCTCCATGTGCCCTGTGTGCCACCCCCACATACCCACCCATAAATCCCACACCCACAAATCCCCTCTACAATCCACCCCCAAAACCCACCCCCAAACCTCTGCCCAAGCCCCACCTCACCCCCAC